GCTAACACTCTTAACGGTATCGAAGAAACGTACGAAGCCAACGAAGAGTCAAAGACATTTGAAGACTTAAGTTTTCCTTAGAGAAAGTTTGGAACCATTTCGCTCATTAGTCTAATTGTGCTTTTATTTATTCTTTTTGGATTGTAATAGTAATGGAACTCGTTTTGTAAATTTAAAATTTGAGACGCTGTAATTATTATTTACTTTGTAATCCTATGCCTATTTCTGCATTGCTTATGAGACCTTGCGTCAATGCCTTTTAAGATCTGTCAAAAGGGTGGTGCGCTACCTAAGAAAGCTGGACTTAGAAGTGAGGCTAACTTGACTCTTCTGGCGATCTGGGATTTTACTTGGTTATTGGCCAGAGGACTCATTAGTGCCGTTTCCTAGACTCCTAACCTTAGATAAGCCTTTTATTTAATTGATAATATATTCTCTGAAGCTCGCGATTTTTGGAGCGCATAAGCCTAGACCTTTGGACTGGGTTCACTCTCATCATCCTATTTACTTCTTGTAACTTAGTCATGTGCCACTCCCATTCAACCCTTGTGTATGTTTTTGTTGCCTTCCAAACACAACCCTTCAACTCTTTCCCTTTAAACAACTTCTTAAAGTTTGCATACAAATGTCTGAAATAGAACCTGTGATTGGCTTCAGGACATACCAATCTCAAGCTTAGAACAAGTCCCTGTAACAAAAACAGCTATTGTAGCCAAACAATTAAATGACAACATTATTCTAGGAATGACATAATGATAAGATTATTTCAAAACATAAGGAATACATAAAAATATCTACCTTATGTTGATCAGTCATAAATGTCCATCCATGTTCTTCAATTGGACCAATATCTTGTAACAAATTTTGCAAAAACCAAGTCCAGCTCTCCTTACACTCTGCCTCAGCTACAACATAAGCTATTGAATACATTTGATTATTTCCATCCCATCCAACAACTGCAAATAACTACCCTTGGCAAGTTTTTTTCAGAAAACAACCATCTAACCCAATTAATGGTCTGACACCAGATAGAAATCCTCTCTTAATTCCACCAAGGCATACATACATTCTCTGAAACCTGGGTTTAACTTCCAATTGAGGCCTCCACACATTTATGTCAACATCAGTACCCTCATTGGTTCTTCTCAACTCAGTTGCAATCCCATAGTCTACTATATTGTTCAGCATTGGTTCCCTCAATGTGACAACCCTGTATAATATTTTACATTTAATTAATCAAGGTGATTTGGCTTTTAATTAGTTATTATTGTGCATTAATTGTGGAATTGATGAACATTATTGGGTCTGATTAGTATATAATTTTATAAAAGAGTTTTTTTGAAATTAGAAATTGAAAGCCTAAATTGCTTAAGAAGGTGAAATTGATGAGTTAAATTTGTTTAATTTCAAGTATTGGACCATATGAGAGTTTAATTAAATATTCGATTCAGTTTCGATTCAGTTTAGTAAAATTAATATTTGGTTAATTAGGTCCGAGTTGGAGTTAATTAAATTATAAGGATTGGGAATTGTGGTTATTTTGAATTAAATTTACTTATGAGGTGCCCAATTTTAATATGTAATTTAATGACAGAAATTTTGAGTATGATCAGAAATTGAAGGTTTAAATGATTTGGGAAACCAAAATTGATGATAAAAATAAGTTTAATTTGATATTTGGAACCTCTTGGGAGTTCGATTAAAAATCTGATTCAGATTAATAAAATTTGGAATGATTAAATTAAGTGGGGTTAAGTAAGTTGTGTGGTAATCTAATTATATCCAATTAAACATAAAATGTGTAGAAAGAAATAGAGTACTCTAGAATCTTTGATAAATATATTTTTAAAAAAAAATGAAATCAAAAAGAGGGAGATAGAAGGCTACTGGAGGCAGCTGAAAGAGAGAGAGAGAGAGAGAGAGAGAGATAGAGAGAGAGTTGTGCTGGAGAAATGAACTCAAGAAGAAGAAGAAATAAGGAAGGAAAGGCATGGAATTGAAGGCAATCAACTAAACTTCTTGAGATTAAAGTTTAAGGTATGAAATCATGCTTATTTTTGTAAAATCTTTATATTACACTTGAAATGAAAGATGAATTTGGAATCAATATTTGTAATTGAAAGGATTTAGGAAGACAATGAAGGAAATTGAGCTAGAACCATGGTTTTGGGGATTAATTTAGAAATTAATTATTTTTGGTTTGATTTTGTAGAATCTTTTTATAATACTTGAAATTGAGAAGAATTTGAGATTATATTCATGGAATTAGGAAGAAATTAGATTCAATTGAATATAATTTTGATGAATTGAGGAATTGAACTTGAAATTAAGAAAGCCATGGAATTAATCTTATGGATTTTGTAAGAAAATGGATTTTGAGTAAGAAATTGAAGTTTAGATTTTATAAATAATTTAGCTAAAAGCTGAACTTAAGAAATAATTGGGTTCAATTTCATGTAATTGGAAAGAAATAATGAAGGAATGAAGTAATTTGGAGATTAATTCTATAAATTGATAGAAATTGGGTTTTGGATGTTAAATTAAGTTAGGTTGAAGAATATCAGTTATGATTTTTTAAATATGTTAAGTTTGGGTTCATTTTGAGAATTATTCTTGAATTAAGCTCTATAAATTATATGCTACAAAAATTGTTTGGAGATTTGATCCATGCAATGGAGTATATAATGACCTTGAATAAAAGTTTTATAGAAATTATGAGTCTATGAAGAATGAGCTTAATTTTTTATATTAAAGGAGTTTTGATGTAAATGGTTTAAAAATGATCAAGTTTTCTTAATTAGTTAAGAGTTTGTATATTTTTAGACAAGCCATATTTAAACCTAAGTTTTGGAATGATATTTTGAAAGTTTAATTCATTTTTTAGAATTTGTGCGTTTAAAATTTGGGTTCGATATTAAGAAAATGAATTAAATCTAAATTTGGATAAATTTAGAATTTGAGAATCAAAAATTGGTTTGATTTTGAATTAAATTTCGTACATGCAAATATTTTCCCAAGAGCTTTATAGCTTTTATTTTATGTTTTATAAAACAAAAGAAGAAAAATTTTGAAATCATTGATTTAGTAGTAATTGATTAAGAAGCCAAGTAAGAAATCAGTCTATCTGGAAAGAAAGATTTGTTAATGAAAAAATATGTAAAATGAAAATTCGATTCATTTGAATAAAGAAAGAATAAGCGTAGTAGAACTTCGGATTACTTAAATAGCAAAAATACAAGAAAAGTTAAGTTTGATCAAGAAAGTGATATTGTGTTTCAATGTGTATCTGTTATGTGTTTCTGTAGGTCACGCGCTATGATCCGTCCGATTTGTCTCTAGAGCTATCTGTGAGTAACGACCTTGTAAAGATATGTTGAATTATAAATATTTTCTGACTTATAAAACACTCTGTTTCTGAAATACTATTTTCTGATTGATTGAATGATTGTCCTGTTTTATAAACTATACTCGTGGCATCCTTAGCATATGTTTGCTGTTACTGTTATAGAGATCTCTGTTAGTTCCAATTCTTGAAACTTCTATTTACCGTATTGATGGCCATCATATACGTATGTTGGGTCTTCATGACCGTCTGTTCGGTCTTCATGACCATTTGTATTGTTCTGCTATTGGATGTACCACGTATAACTACTATGCTTTCTGTATGAAATACGTATCTGTTTCGCATATGATTCTGATTTTCTATTTTACTGTTAAAATTGACCGATTTGGATTACAGTAAGGACATCGTTCATAATCTCTTTACGTTGTTGTTGTTCCCTGGGCTCTCGCTCATTTTTTTATATATGTATGTAGGTGATCAGGCGCGTGACCAGGCCTAAAGCTTCTGCCTGGACTCTGTCTTGTCAACCAACCTATGTGCCTCCCGTGGAGGTTCTGGATATGTCAAGTGCCAAGACTATGTGATTAAAGTTTAAGTTTTTGGTTATTCTGTATATAGGGCGAAGTCCTTTTTGTCTCATCTATATATGTGATGATGCCGGACTGATGTGATAATATATGTATATAAAAAGTTTAAATATTTTCTGTCTCATGTAAGTCTGCACAGCTCAATGGACAATGTATGTTTGTATTTTGCTTCCGCTAGCCCCTAATATTATGTATCTGTTTAAGAGGTCTTCAGTAATCTTAGGATTACTGGCCGGTCATGATGCTAAACCTATAGGGGCGGGTTTGGGTCGTGACACTCAATCTTCTGAATTGTTGTCTTTTTAGCTCTATAAGCTTTCATTGTTGACACACTTACAACAAAATCCTCTTTGATAGTTTCTTGAAACTTATTCAGTTTCAATGTTGGGGTGGTCCTAAATTTGTGGATATACTTCTTTGCCAACCAAGAACTAGTAATTTGTCTATTCTTGTAAGTTCTAGAGCAAGAGTGTTTAGGTTGATATGTTTTTATCTGCAAAGTGTTCTCTCCAGTCATCTTGGATGCATATAGTTTCCATTCAAACCCAACACTACAATTCACTTAAACCTTCCATTTTTCACTTTTAGTAAACTTCACATCATATCCCCTTTTTACTGCATATTCCTTAACAGCATCTTTGAACTCATTTGCATTATTAAACAACATTCCTAGTTTGAATTCAATGTTCTGCATATCAACCTCAGGTCTAAATTCAAGGTACTTAGGCTTGTTGTTATTATCCTCATCATTAGAGCTTGTAAGGGTAACCAGTTCTTCCTCAGATGAATCTCTATCATTCACTTCACACTCATGATAATCTTTAAGCCCTTCTTCATTGACATCTCTCTCAACATTACTATCAAACATAATGTCATCAAGATTAGGATCATCATCATCACTACTATCTGAGAAATCCCTATCTGATGGGTCATCATTGCCATCACTATTACTATTTGAGTCCTCTTCACATTGATCATTGTTATAATTTCCATCATTTTCCACATCCTTGACAGGCACATCAATAAGGAACAACACAGGTGAGCAATATCTACATTATGTGGCTTATGATGCTCAATAAACAGTTCTAAGGTATTTATATTTTCCAAATAAGAAAACATTTCTATAATATCATGATCATTAGCCAACACTCTTAACCCTAAGACCAAATCTTTGTTAGGAATCTTATAGAAAATATGCTTGTAATAAAAAAACACCCAACTCCTTCAACATGCACCTAATCTCTAGGACAGATAATTTATCAATATCAGCTGCATCAAAAGCATCCACATGACCCCCAACATAACTCCTTTCATCACTCTCAATAAAACATCCACTGTGATGTATAAGAACTTTAACAAAAGTTGTCATTACTGCATCCATAAATAAACAAAACAATAACAATAACTATGGGTCCACTTGCAAAACAAAATATTAAAAAAAAAAAACCCTCATATAAAGCAACTTGGCCCACATATCTCCATCTATGGAGACAAAATATGACAAAAAGGCAAGCACACAAGGTCATAAAAAAATAATGGAGACCCTGGGACCACAATGTGTTCAATGATACAGAGGTATACATATATTCGGAGACAAAAGCAATGTCACAAAGCAATAGACAAGAAGTGTGCACTGACAATGAAGAGAAACAATGTCATAAACGAATGGAGAGAAAAAGAAGGTCAACAATGGAGACAAAAAAATCAGAAAACCCGTATAAAACAACCAAACACCAATCTATTTCTTACCTCTATCTCAGAGTCCAAAGCTTTTTGGAAAATCAACTATGAACTACTTGTCTTCCTTCGCTGCGTGGCTTCAATCGCGGGTTGAATCACCAATCGCACCAGGTGACCTAAATCGCAATAGGAGGTGTCTTTTGCCTTAAATTGTGAAGATTAGGGCTTTGTTGTACAATTTTGGCACCCAAATCATCCTTCCGTTAACTAATAGAGACAGAGATGGACGAAGGGATCGGATTGAAACACAGGTGGAATGATGGGGAATAAATTGTTGAAATTGAAAACCTGGGGTTTAAATTGAAAATGGTGCTAAACCCTGAATTTTTTTTGTAATTAATCCAAAAAAATGTGACATTTTGTGATTAAAAAAATAAGACATCTTATGATTTATGTTACGAGCTTTTGTAAAAAAATTATGACGAGAATACGATATGATATGCACTTTTTTCAAAGTATACAGTAACTTATGTGTTGTAATATTTTGAATATTTTTATTGACGATAAGTAATGTAAGAGCACCCTTTAATGTTGACTTTCCTTTTATTTTCTATTGAAATTCATGATTTAAATATAATTTTAATTACATGATTTGAGCATTTCTGTTTGGGAACTTCAAAATAAGCCATATTTGTTTTTTGGAATTTTTTTGTTTTTAATGACTTTTTTTTTTCAAAATGATGTCAATTTTTTTTTTTTAACCTTCTCAGTTTATCTTGTGTACATGAATCAAAAAGTAAAAATAAATAAATAAAAACTAAAAATTTAAAAGTTTTGGTTTGTCTTGCCGAGTAGATTTTAGAAGCCTAATATGCTTTTTAAAACTTTTTAAATTTTTTTTATTAAAAACGAAAATAAGCCAACAAAATAACCAAAAAAAAAAAAAAAAACTAACACATAAAATTAAAATTTCATTTCATTTGAGTTTGGTAGGCCCGTTTCAGGACCAACCTTGGTGATTCAAACTGTTCAATTTTTAAGATTTGTTGAGTAGAATAATTTATGAAAAAATCAAGATGATATGATATCGTTAGTCATTTGTTTGACTCATATTTATATTACAAAAAATGGATTCGATCATATTATTTTTTTATATAAATATTCTACTAAACAATTTCTAAAATGTTAACAGTTATCAGTCTCAAAATAGATCCCCCAAGCCGCCCCTGATATAGCTATATCATAGTGACCATGGTCATACACTAGGCAAACCACCCAAGCTGCCTCCTAGCGAACCATCTAAGCTGCCCTGGCGCACCACCACCTAAGCCGCCCCTGTGGTCCACCACTCAAGTCACCTTCCTTGGCACACTTCTTAAGCCGCCTCCTTGGCGTGCCACCCAAGCCGCCTTCCTTACACACTCCCTAAGCCACCCCCTTGGCGTATCACTCCCTAAGCCGCCCCCTTGGCGTATCACCATCTAAGTCGCTCCCTTGGCGCGCCACCCAAGCCACCCTTCTTAGCGCATCACCTAAGCCGTTCCCTTGGTACACTTTCTAAACCGCCCTTAGCGCATATGGTTCCTTTCCAAGTCGTTCCTTGACGTACTCTTTCATCTGTTGCTATCATTGTTCAACACCATGTCATAAGTTACGTGTGTGCCACATTTGATGATTCAACACCCGTTCTTCTTCTACAATGGTCCAATACGACCATAAATTGTCTCCCCCGCATTCACTCCTTTAACTCCGACCCTGTTCCTACAACGGTCCGACATGACCATAAACTGTCTCTCGACATTACCTTCGCTAACTCCATCCTTATTCCTACAACGGTCCGAGACGACCATAAATTATCTTCCGGCATTAACTTCTGCTACTCCTCCAACGGTCCAGCACGACTATAAACTGTCTTCTAGTATTATTATTTTTATTTTATTTTCTTTACTGTCTCTTTCCAAACTTCAGTTGGTCTCTTTGTAACCACCTTAAGTTTGAGGGGAGTTATTAGGGGTTGTTTGGGGTGTCCTAAATAAGTGCACTTTTGTCTTTTTGAACTAAAAAATTGAGAAAAAAAATATGGATGTTTGAATTAACTTTTTGACTTTTTATAAAAAAATATGTATTAAAAATTGTATAAATTAGGCCAAGTTTGATATGTGGCCAAAAAGTTAAAAAGTTACTCAAAATGTTAAAAAGTTATCACTATTCACCAAAAGTCAAAAATTACGACTGCACAACTCCCAATCCTAATTTTCCCTACACACTAATTTATACAATTTTTTAATACACATTTTTCCATAAAAAGTCAAAAAGTTAAACCAAACAACCATATTTTTTTCCTCAACTTTTTAGTCCAAAAAATCAAAAAGTGCACTTATTTAGGACATCTCAAACAACCCCTTAGTAATTTGAATTTTTTAATAATTTTTTTATTTTTTAATTTTTTTGAAAAAATTAATGTTTTGAAATTAATTTTTTAATTGAATAGATAGAGTTGTGACAAAAAGTAATTGATTGATATGAATGATATGACATTTTTATTTATTTATTTTTGCTTTTTAGTATTTTTTTTTTTTTGGACTTTTTCAGCATAAAAAAAATTTAAAAAAAAAATCACAAACCAAAGGGGTTTAATAATATTTTCATAATAATTTGTGAGCTAAAAAAATGTGTATATCTCAGGCAAAATGAGACTCACATGGGATATGAAATTATTAACTCACTTGTATGTTTGATTTACTCTCATCCTATCTTCTGCTTTGGATTGTGTTTTTTTGTCTTTGATTTTTTATCTTAATACATCTTACGTTTATTATCCTTCCATTTTAATGGTATGACATAAAAGAAGTAAAAACAGATGATAGTACAAGAAATAGTTATTGAGGCAGTTCAACTTAGCATATGTTTGCGTTCTTTTTTTTTTTGATTCAAAGGAAGTTCAGAAAGACAGAAAGGAAAAGAACAAGAACAGATACAACAGCTAAACTAAGAACTAGTCTCTTAGGACACTAACTCCAGTCATATCTGCTATGACCAGATTCTTCACCTCTTCAGGAGGGTCCTTCAGCAGCACTACATGTTCATCTTGCTCCACACCTAGGTTTGCAAGCTTAT